AAAAGAAAGAGTCGTCACTGCCACTCTGTGAGTTCCCCTTATGTTTCAAACGAAGTTATCCAAAGTCTTTGGTCTTCACTTTTACAGCAGATTTTGTTCCTAGAATGATGTCTTTTGAATGTAGTGCTCATGCCATCGCCCAGGTTCACCAACACGACCTGATTTCATTTGCGCGATGAAAAAGAGTTTGACTATGGGGTTTTGCGTCGGCAGAGCGATGGGTTTTACTTTGGCTAGTTGTGGCTGCGCACACCTGTGTGCACAATACCTCGTACATCCGTCGTGCACATCACTCTCTTACACCTTCTCTCCCACCCCTCTGTTGTCGGAAGCTGATATCACTTCCTGACAAGGCCGTGTTGTAGAAGCTATTGAGACTCTGACTGCTTTGTGCTTTAGAACCTTCAGATTCGTAAAGATTCATATGTGGGGTTATCCGGTCCTTTAATTCTTTTCCTTTTGGGTTTAGATCGCTTCCCACTTTTGAGGCAGGTTTCTTTGAGTTCAACCCTGAGCATGTTCCGAGGCAGCTGCTCCTGGACGTGCATCTGGGAGCGCCGGATCTGGCCGAGCGGCTGGGTGGTGCGGTTGTGGCTCGGGCAAAGTCATCCGAGCAAATACATGGGATTTGATCGCAGAAGTGGGCAAGTGATGGTCAATCCCGGTCCAAAGGTTTATGATCCAGCATATGTGCGTCTCTTCTTCGCCCTGAATCGGTAGCGAACATCTTCCAAGGGGAACCTTTGGCGGCATTCGGTGTCTGTGTAACGTGTACCATTTAGCCAAAGCCATACACAGCCACAGACTGTAGCACATCGAAACCATTCGTTTAAAACCATGAGTCTGAAGGTAAGCTTCGCCTGGAATGTGGCTCCAAAATGGTCCATCGCAAAAAAGCACATGTGTTCAACTTAACATTCTATCAGCGTTGAAAAAACATTTTGTTGAGTTCATACTTCAAAGGTGCCCTCCATAATATGAGTGTGTATTTTAATAGGGGGCCCAAAGGGTAGACTGGTCGATGTTCCTTCCAGTGGGAGGTCTCCCTGTCAATGCACAATCCGACTGCGGTCTCCTTCATCCAGTGCCGACTCAGTCTGTTTCCTGCGCTCTCGACTCTGCAGGACTCCGGCTCAGTGGCTCCGGTCCGGCAGTTGCGACTCGGTCAGGCATCATGCGGCCGGAACGACCCGTCGGGTGGAGGGAAAAGGTCGACACGTGGTTGTTGTTCCCCCAAATGCGCGGAGAAGTGGACAGTTGGATGAAAAGTGGTATCTTTCTTCAACTATAAGTTATATAGTGTATAACTGTTTGTCCAGATGACTCCTTCAACTGAAAAAGAAACACATGGAGGGTGTGGATGGCGTCCCAGGTGTCCCAGACGGTGCTCAAAGGATCAGAAGGATCATCCGGGTGTGCAATGAGAAGGATCATTTTAGTAGTGTATGTATAGATAACGATTAATTAGACCGTGACCCGTTGGATGCGTCTGTTGGCGATCCATATTGATCCGCCCAGATCTCTTTCTCTTGCCCCAGCCTCGCAGCTCGCCCAAGGTGATCGTCCCTCCCGTTCGAGAGACACCGCCGCGACGCTGGAGCGGCTGCCGCCGTCCGGGCGGCGGAGGCATGAGCGGGGGGGCTGGTTAAGATGTGGTTGGCCTCACCAAGATGGGATTTTGTATGATTTTGTCCTATGTAAATCATGTAATGACCCAGGGCCCATGACAGCACCCAGAACCGCAAGAGGTGTTACGGTGCCTCCCACACCGTGCTGACCCTGCTGAAGTGTTTGTTTCATTCCTTTTCATTTGATCTAAACCACATTAAAACACAATCACACAACATCTACATAATGATGAAAAACAGGTTCTTGCCAACCCGTCAGAGGTGAACTCTCCCAAAACGCCGGCCACCGAGAGGCCGAGCCTCGAGAACGCCTACAGCTCCCCATCGCCTGCACCTGCACCGCCCACACCACAGGCGGAACGTCTTGAGAGATTGTTCATTCCGTGTCTGTGACAAGCAGGGAAGAGTGTCTAAGGACCGGGTCCTAAAGCTAGCAGGGCTTTGAAACCCTAGGGTTTTAGGGGGTTCGGGTTTTGAAACCCCAACTGGGAAAGATGTGGAAAGTGGATCTGGCTGCGCCAGAGGTGTGTTTTCTCCGGATTGGAGCAAATGGAGACTCTAATGGGTGAAGTAAGCCACACTTCAAGTCTAAAGACACAGAGCAAGAACAACTCAAGCTGCCCCAAAGTTTCAGTCCCCCTCCCAGCATCTATCACAAGAAGATCATAAGGAATGGATATATAGCAGATATGCCCAACTGCCTCGCTTCTGCAGGGCGCTGGCGACGTGTCGCAACTTCAGGAGTGGCGCTCGATCCGTGGAGCGGCACTCGATCCGTCCGCTCATCGGTGTGTCGTGCTGTTTTCCATCTGCGGTGGACCCAAAGAAAGGGGTCCTGGGCTCCAGGTTCCGCGGATGAATCAATTTGACCATAAATGAAGTACGGGCCAATCTTCTGACAGAATCACAGAAGATGTCCTCGAATGTGTCAGATGTTTGGGAATGTGTGGGAAACTCTGCAAAGGTTTGGAATGTATTTGAGCAAAGATGTCAAACGTGTGGCCGGGACATTTGAAGGCAAACATACGGACACACATTCATTGGGCTGACAGCATTTTTGTCAAGAGTCAAGTCAAGTCAAGACATTGAATATGCAGCGGGGGGCATGGTGCGCACGAGGGTTGACCCACAGCCGCTGATGTGGCCATGCATCATTTTCCTTGGCCTTCTTGTTCCCATTTGTGATGTATAGAATCGATCCGTTCTTGACTAAGATTCATTGTCCACTGAGGGCACAAAAGAACTTGTTAGTCCTCACGTTTTTGTTGGCCCTTCGATGTGGTGGTTCTCACCGTCTTCATCGTGTGCCGCCGTACGTACAAAGGACGCCCTGTCTCACGCGCTTTGTGGTGTCGAAGGCAGCAAAGAGCGGAGGGACGGTCTCGGATCTGGACGGTGTCGGAACTACACCGAGACTGGATTGAAACTACTGGCATTGCTCAAGATAAAAGGGTTGCCTCAAAGGATCCCTTCTACCCCCAAAGGATTCCTATCTTGTGTGTCAATTTTGGAGAGATAGGCAGACCCATGAGAGATACTCTTCAGGACGTCTCAGGCTCCAGATCGATGGAATTCTCCCACGATCCTGATGCCTTGCAGTGGGTTTCCTTCCTACAGAGCTGGGAGACCAGGCTGCCATTGGGTTCCAAATCAGCTCGTTCAGTAAAGAGATGTGGGAGACAACAGCGACGGTGCTTGTGGGACTGAGTGTGCTGGACCTAGAGAGGAATTGCAAGATCGGCCGAAGAGGATGCTTCTGGAGACCCAAAAGCGAGTGAGACACCATTATGAGACGAGTGAGACAACCCTACTGATTGGCACCCCCCACCTTATCATTCTCCCACCAGTCCACCAGTCCTGTCAGCATGAGTTAGCCAATGGCCTCCGCGCCAAGACGTCCCAGATGGCATTCGTTGGATTCTTTGGCGCCCTTTCGTTGGAACTTTGGTCAAGAGATACATAAAAATGCAAACCATTGTAAACCATGTCCACGATGCCATTCGTAGGTTTCTATGTGAAACGACGTCCGATGGCGCCTGGGCTTGGTTTTTCGGTGCCTGGCTCCCACGTGGTTAAGTTGAGCCCCAGCGCAGGCGTTCAAGTCGAGCCCATCCCTGAGGCTCGCTCCGCGAGCAACGACCAAGATAATGCAAGACAGAAGGAAACAAGCGTTTCATTGAGGCACAGTGAAAATTACACCGTGTCTTGAGGCGGATTTAAGGGATGAAGCATGATGAAGTGAGGCAGGAGTCCCACGTGCGGGACCATTCCATTCACCAAAGGTGTTACGTAGTCCGTGTTCGCTTGTACCAGTAGGTTTGGAGTGTACCTTGGGCTGTCCTCCGCAGCCCGCACACGACAGTTTACTTTTGAAAGGGCACACCGGCACACCCGACAGACTCACTTCAAATCAAAAGCTGCGATCCCCGCAGGAGATCGCTGCTACACTGGAGGCCTTCGAAGTGCCAACCATGAACACAGAGGAGCCGTATGGAGCCCGGCGGCATCCGGTGGAGGTGATGGAAGTGATGGAAGTGATGGTCGATCGTGATGGTTTTGTGCTGAGAAGATGGATCGGACCGCCACAGGTGAGTTCTGCCCAAGAATCGGAGCTCGGAGCATGGAACATGACGAACAATAATGGAGAAGACAGAAGACCAACTCTAAGAACATGGCAAAACAATTGCAAGAAAAAGTCATCCATTTTTTAAGCAGTCGGCTTTGTAAAACAAACAACACAAGGATCCACTGGATCCCTTCAACACGAGCTTTCCGCACCGCTGGGCTGTAGCTTGGCTCGACGCTGATGAAGGGCCCGTCCAAAGGGCCTGGTGGCAAAGGACGAGGCGCCATGCGAAACGCCTTTCCTCAGCGCAGGGGAGGAGGATGGAGTAGTACGCCGGAGGATCCGGCGATCTTCTCTATGTTGTAGAGCAATGGTGTTAGTTAATATAAGAGCCTATGGCAGCCTATGTATTGTTATTATTATGTATGTGATTGTGTTTTTCTTGTTCCGTTCATTGGACATGGAAACGCAACTATGCAACTGCATGGTGGATTCCATGTTATAATACAATATGATGTAATTCTTAGCTTTTGCCGCAGTTCCCATGCTTGTCGTTCGAGCAAGAACGTGTCCTTCCCAAAAGCAAGAAGTAATCCGAAATATGTTTGTTAATGAAACATCATGAAACTATCAGCCGCAAGAATCCTCATTTGGTAATTGAATGCTGTCAAGGTGTGAGTTTCCAGTTGTTCCAGAAACATGTCGAAACTAAGGCACAGCTATATGGGTGAGATTGGGTGAGTAAAGGTGAATCTTGTCACTTTTCTCCAACCTTCAGAATCCACTATTCATTGAATGATTACAGTCTATTGCTGTTGGGCTTATAAGGACTAAGACTCGGCTCACTTCGCAGTGAGAGAAAAACATCGACGGCCTCGCTTGGGAGGCTACACGAAACCAGAGGCCACGGTTCGGAGTCCGCGGGACGTGGGGGGAGTCGAACGAGACTTCAGCCGTCCGCCGTCCGCCCCGAGGAAGCCGGCGTTTTTGAACATGTTTGACCAATTCAGCAGAAACCGAGCTTTTCTGAGCTGGATGGAACCATGCTGGAACCATGCTGATTGTTAGCGGCAATGACAGAAGACCGGTGTCATGTGGCTGAGATGAAGGTTTGCAAACATATGGTAGTTGCAAAAAAAAACACCTGAACATCTGAGGTTATGCTGATCAAGAAGATCACTCTTTTGGAAGTACCATCTTCAGACAATTGTAAATGATTTAGATTCCTCTTGTGGCTGGTGCTGATCAGAATCCCTTTTACAAGTCCCCTTGGATGGTCTGGGTAATCGAAATCAATGGAGGACACCATCCTACTGGACATCATCCTACGAGCCAAAGGTGAGAGTTATGATGACGGGCGGTTCATGTTCCATTTGGAGGAATTTGAGATCATTGAAATGCATAGAAAGGGGCCCGGGGTCCTTTTCTGCCCGTCTGGCAGATGGGTGTGTTAAGATGCACATGTTGGGATAGCAGAATGCACGAACTATTGAGGGATACTGGGATACTCCTTAATGGGAATGATTCGGAATGATGAAGAAGGAGTGCCCAATAGAGATTCCTTTGGATCTATTTCCCAATCCCTGCTAAGTGCCAGTCAATGAGTTATGACCACCTCCCAGTGTTACTTACCCGAAAAGCCAAGGAGCCTCGAACAACACATTTTCAGAAACCAGCGCCACATTTTTGGCATATGGCCCGTACGTTTTGCCCATGGCCCATGAGTCATATTCCGTGAAAACCATTGAAAGCCCGAAGTAGAACATCTCTATACATAAATGAACATCAATGAACCGAATGAACATAATATCTCTATACATCTCCTATAGGTGTTTTGATCCCAGTGTTAACATTCCACTCCGGACATCTCAGCCTTTTTTACTGTAGATATCTCCGTACATCCCTTCCTTTCGAACCCTTCCTTGAACGGATTGGATCTTAGATCCCGACCTCCCAAGCTGATCGGTGTCCAGATCCAAGATCCAGGAGACTCTGGAGATCCTAGATGCGTTTGGGATCGCGAGGTGCGTCCCACGCATTCCCGATTGCACGGTGTAGCCCATAATTGCGCTCGTTCCTCACAGTCAAAATCAATATGACATGTATGCACCAGACATGCGTTAGGAAATAACCGTGGCTTTAGGGTTGCAGATGAAGATATGTTTGAATTGTTGCTGGTTCCAAACAAGGATCTTGGGACCCCGGAGTATATAATATTAATATACATAATTATACATACATAATTGCTAGCCCCCCAAAAAAATAGAGAGACCGGAACGCTATGCGGGTGTGTGTTTTCCAGAGTTGTGTGTGTGTGTGTCCACACCTGTGCCTAGGGCTCCTGGTATCGCTACTAACATATAGTTTCTCAGCGCGGAAAAAAGAGGCAGGGGAGCGTGATGAACCTCGGCAATTTCACGCGCAGCACTGTCCAGAAAGTGGGACAAGTGACCCAGAAGCTGGGCAAAAGCGGGACCGTGGATCTCGCCAGAGGCATCTATAAGTTTGTCACTGGTTCGCATCAAGAGCTCGTGAAGCCTTTGAACACTGAGGTGGCCCAGAAGGCTATTGAAGCTGTACATGAAATTTTGTTGGCAGTGGTCCTTTCAGCAGTCACTGCCTAACAAAGACACTGCTGATCGGATGTGACATGACTCTGGGGCGCCGGAGTCACGCACCTGCATTTTCCAAACTGTTCACAAGCTGTCCAATGCGTTGTTTCCTGCACTAAACGGCTAATGCATTTCCAAACTTTGTTAAACATCTACAAGTCCATCGACTCAGCCACCTTTCGGTTCTTGTTCTTTCCGTTCACTCATGTCAAGGGGAACTTCGTACTGGCATCAGCTCTTGCGAGCAACAATCTAAGTGTGTTTTCGCCACAGGGTCCCACTGAGGGCTGTGGTGTGATCCCCTTTTTTTATCTGAGCGTGGCCTTTCCTTTAGCGTTCTTTGAAAAGACTGTACTTACGGCTTGAGTCTACTTGAGAAAACTTTACTGAGAAGCCTTTACTTGATGGTGTGATTTGTTCTTGGGAATACTTTACTTGAGGATGAAATTGTACTTGAAAACTTTTACACGAGGATGTGACTAAAAATTGAACTTTACCTGGGAGTGACCTCATACTTGAGACACCTTCAAAAACCATAATCATAAACCTAGATGAGCTCTTGGCATCACAAATTCGTCACAGATTCATCGCAAAAAACGCAGATTGAAACTAGTCACTCTCAAGACATTGTAGGTTTGCTTACAAACTTTGTTTTGCATATATATGGCATCAAATATCACAAAGGTTTCATGTAGTTGTCCCAATAGTTTATGATGTTCTGCACCAAACGCTTACCGACGAACATCTATTTCTTGTCGAAAGACATGTCATCTGTATGAAACCTGCATATCACAATCGCAGTCATTGTGTATCTGCTCTGCTGCTTCTGCATTCCTCACAGGCTGCCTCTTGCCAATTGCGGTATCGCTTTGCTTTGCCGTTCCGCGCGCCATGGCTGCTGGCAGTCTCCTTGATGATGCTATGGCAAAGTTCGGGGGCGAGTCTTGGTCGCTCTCAACTTTGGACTCTCTTGCCTGCAGCTCCATAAGTGAGCAGGAAATGGAGGATCCCATCACCATCTCTGCCTTCATTGCTGCTGTTGGCCGGCGTCAGCAAGGACTCTCCATTCATAGACGTTCCTGTTTTGCGCTGAGCTTTTTGTCTTGTACCGGTCTTTTATTCTTGTACTGGTCTTACACATCTGGCACCACCCGCACAGCTGACAAGCATCAAGGGCCTTGTCAAAAAGGGCTTGGGGGGGGCTAGCAATTGATATATAGTTTCTGAACATGGTACATAACCCTCCAAGCGGATTTCCACTTCTCGTTGGCCAAAAGTCAGCGTTCGGGGGTATACCACCCAATGGATGAAAAGGCATCTCAGCAGTACTCTTTACAATATACTTGCGTGAACTTAGCGGGGTTCGTAGGCAAGTAACTTAGTAGATGCATGTCCTTGTCTCGACACAAAGTTTCCAAAATCCTGTTAGGAGTGCCATTCAACCTCACACGTTTGGAGATTTGATGTGTGTCCGTGTGTGGCTAAAAGCATGGTGCCACTGGTCATGGCCGTTTGACACCCAGTTTTCATCCATCACACACCAGAGGCAGTGTCTTTGCAAAAGCGGTGTGTACCGCTTGCTGGCTCATGGAGGAGCGGGTGAATCAGTAGCGCGTGGCATGGCACAGGAGTTAGTGTCGGATGGCACCTGTGTATGGAACCAAGGAATAGTTTAGCATGTCAAGGATGGCAATTTCTATTTTGTTGGTGGTTGTTTTGTCCGAACTTGGGCTTCACAACAGGGTATCAAGCTTGCAAGTGAAGCAATAAGGGTTTCACAATCACAATTGGCAATTCCATTCTTTGTTTGTTTGGTTGTTTTTGATGTTTTTTTGTTTGTTTGTGGTATCGCATGGATTGTTGTGTGTCTATGGTCCATGTCCATGTTTCATGTTGCTACAAGTTGCCACCAGATAAAGGACCCTCAAAACATGCTAAAACAAAACATTGGTTCATTTCTCCAGTGGGAGTCAAAAGGTGCCAGACAGTTAGGCTCTAGAATTTGAGTGTGTGCATATGGGCCATATTTCATATTTTGGAGACTGTGCAAATCGGTTGGAGGTCGGTCCTTGCTTGCTCAAAGCTGCGTCAAGTGAGCACCACTTCAGTTTCGAGGTCCCTTCGATTCTCTTCACTAAAAATATGTTCCTCAGGAAGAGGAGAAGGACCCATGGTCGTTTTGGTTTGAGGGTTTTTGATGTTTTTGAGGCTTTCAATTCCTCAGGTGAAGAACGTCGTGGCACCTACCACTTTGACGTGTCCACTGGGAAGCTGACCGAAGCAGACGAGACGATCCTCGGACAGGCACTGGGGCCGGAGCAATGGAGGAAGGGGTTACACTTCTGGAAATTATCATGGAAGTGGAGTTCTTCACCTGTTTGTAGTGGACGGTGTAGTCATCCAAGGGGGGCATGTCATCCAGTTCCATGATTATTCCAGGGAGTGTAATTAAGTGGTTTGGAGACGAGTCACCGGTTCCTTTGAAGAACATCCCTTCGGATTTGTGAGGCCATCGCTACTAGGTTGGAGGCCATCGCTCTTGGTGGTTGAGGCCATCGCAGTGGATGCACCAACTCAGGGACCTGATGCCATTCCACGGGGCCATTGAGCTACTAAAGGACCTCACAGGAGTGGCCACCTTTCGGGACAAGGTCGCCTGAACTCGGACGAACGGACCCAAACGCACCCTTCTTGTTCGGCACTGCACAGGAACCCTGGCAGTTGGCTGGTGAATTGAATTTGCTCTTAAATGAACTGTTTTCCCTATTTTTTATACCAAGGATGGGTTATTTCTCGGCCGAGCACTTGGAGATTGAGACGCCCCTCATGTTGGAGAGGTGCGACCGCACCCAACGGGGCTGATGGGACTGGAGCTTGACTTTCTGGATGTAAAAAAACATGCATGGTTTTGCATGTAAAAGCATGCCTTCCAATTGTATTGGGGAATATACTTAGACTTAAATATATAGTTACTTTAAAATGTTTGTTGCACATATTTGTCCACTGTGACATCTCATGAGGACCACCGCAAAGATGGAATGGTCTTTGAGAAAATGAACACTGATTAATAACACCCCCGAGCTAAATCGGACATCCTCTTCGTATGGGAGGGTTAGTCATCAAGAGTCTACATGATTGCCCTTTGAGGTTCCTGCCGCGGCAGGGGGAGGGGTTTCCCCAGTTGGGTTGGACCGCTAATTGGATCGTCAGTTGGGTCCATCGTTTCGTACAGCTTCACCGGCTCGGTTCGAGCTTCATCGGCTCCGAGTGCTCCTCATTGCCCGAAGGTTCAGAAGCCAGTGGCCCAAAATGTGCGACTTGAAGAAAACGAAGGGTGGTTTGTGATGAATGTGTTTGTTGTTCTTGAGACGTCCTCAATTTAGGTCATGGATCTGTCTAGGTCAGGGGTCCAATCCCTCTTGACCAGGGCTGCGGATGCGCACTTGCCGGTGGTTTCTATCATGAGCAGTGAGGCAGGGCAGAGCGTGCGGAGTAGGATCGCAGATTTGGAGCGTTCTCCTTTGAACCCTGAAGGGTTTGGAAGAAGAGACTTTCCGGATATGTTGGGGAGGTGGCGAGATGGACAGAGCCCAGGTCACACGATGTCCAGGCTTTTCCGACCATCTCAGTTCCCTGTGGTCGCGGTGTTGCTTTTGTCTTCGGCTTCTGAATGAGGTTCTTTGACCATCTCAGCTTGGGTTCTTCGGTTCGCCCATAGTCGCTAAGAGTGTCGCCCATAGTCATAGTCGTCAGGTGACCAGTAGAAAGTGGCCACTCTTCCTCTCTCCTTTGCAGGTCATGGTGGAGATCCAAAAGCCTGAACACGCCGGAGCCTTTATTGTGATCCCCTCGCAGTTCAATGGAGTGGCTGGGCAGGAGTTGGTGCAAACCTCCAGGTCACCCTTTGCACCCCTTTGCCAGTCGAAGTTGCAATTACCCTCACTCTCCGAGTCATTAACGAAGTGGACAACCACCTGTTTGTAGAGGAAAATGGTCATCTAAGGGGCAATTTTCCACTTGCATTGGTGATTTCAGGGAGTGTATCTTTCTGTGCGCACCTGTGGTAATACTTGTGGCACAAGGTGTCTCAACGGGAACTAGGGAAATCCAGGGAATGTTCATGTGGCTATACGGAAGGGTCTTACTGCTGTGGTCCTTTCGGACTGGCTGAACGTCTTTGGTGGAGGCTATTGGTAGTGCTCTTGGTGTTGAGATATATAGATTTGGGATGTTTGACACAGACAGGACCTGTAAAACGATAAGGAAGAAAAAAAACGATAACGCCAAAAGTGGTAAGGCAAAAGGATAGGGGGTTTTTATACAACCTCAGGTGAGTGTCCGTGAGTGTCCGAGCCTCCTGTGCTTTACGCTTGTCCTGCTCCCAGGTGGAGTTCCCTTCTCATTGCCTCTTAGCACAACTTGAGACAATTAGGCACACTACTGCTCCGCAGTTGCAATGACTTGCAGTTCAGTGCCCAGCAGTTCAGCTTGCAACTCAACAATTCTATGACCTCCAAATGCTCATGGAGGATGGCATGGCCCCGATTTCGGATGACCCTCTTCCGAAGACCAAATAGGTGGTGTTTACTCCACTTCCATGCGTATGTCAGGAAGAGCGTCGATTTATATTAGATGTCCTGTATACCAAGTCTCAGTTTTTCGAAGACCGTCCTCACATATCCTCCTGGCCTCTACCGTGCGGTCCATCCAGGCTCGGTGGTGGAGAGTGTGGAGGAGTATAAGTACGACCACACAGGCTTCGGGTCGCACTTCGCGCCACGCGCTTCGTGGTGGTATGCATGGTGGAACGCGACGTGGGGAGCAGAGAGCCGCACGAAGCGGTTCCCTTCGCCGACGAGGGGAGAGAGGCCGTAGGGTGACTTCGTCACTAGAGTGTACAGCCCACATCCATGTGCGGCAAAATGGGTTGTTACGAACCTGATCCACTCTGAACAGCTCTGGGAACCACTATTTTATTGTTCTTACCCTTGATCATGGCAGCCGCCTGGCTGTCTACCTCTGATCAATGTCCGATCTGCATGAACAACCTTTTTGCGTAGGCGGACCCTGCGCACAGCTAGCGGTGCATCCGGGCATTGCGCAGTTCTTGTTGGACAATGCCGCAACAGATAGTTGCTTGGTGCAGTTTCCAGGGTGGGCTTCGTATCCTCAATGCCCGATCGAAACTGCTGTCAGCCCGTGATTGAAAACAACTAGAAGACCAACAAGACTGACGGTAAAATCGTCGCTCAAATCTGGAAGACCAACAACTGCCGGTATAGCCCAAGCGTGAAAACAAAGACGGGTGCCCTGTGGCGGGTCGGGCCTAGGCCTTGTGTTTCTGAATGGGAGTTGGTGGGTGAGGTAAAACGTCGTGTTTGAATGATATATATATAGACATAGATATGTGAAATGTTGTACTTGAATGATCTGTATTTCATATGCTTTAGGCCTTTCTGGCCTGATTGATCCACCCATGCGTCCACATAAAGAAAGGAACGGCCATCCTGCGTCCTGGCGGCCCAGGGCGTTTCGGCGGCCTTGATGCTACTCGGGAGCTGGTAAGCTACCCGGCTAGAAGTGGATCGACAGAGAGGGGAGGGCACGCATTATAATGAGATGTTTTTTTTTATTATCTTTCTTTATGGGGAAGGTTGTGTTTCTTCATTGGTGTTCTGTGATTACGAACTTGTTTTGGTTTTACTGGAACTTTGCAGGATTGTGGTGGTGGTCAGAAGTAACGTCGAACTCCAGAACCCTGCAAACCCTGCACGTGGAACAGCTTCATTCTTGGTGGCCAAAGTATACATGTTGACTGGCTTGGTGAGCCGAATTGATGCACGAACTGATGCGCATAAGAAGGTGGCTGCGAAAGCGCGTCGTACATGTACTTATTTTCCGGGGTCAATGATTCTTTGATGTTCTTTGAGGTTCACGGAGTCTTTTTGCTCAGATCACCAAGTCAGTCACCTCCTGTTTTATGTAGAAGGATGTAGAAAGCCTCATGTGACAAACAGCGAGGAGTCCTTTGTGAGGACGCTGCACCACGTCCTGTATCATCTGGGAGGAACTGCATAATCCTGCCCATTGGGAGAAGAACACCCTGGATCCATACCGGCCTTTTACCAAGGAATGGTCAACTCATCGCTTGAGGAGCATGGACTTCGAAGCAAGAAGCAGATGCCGCTGGGATTTTTAGGTGTAGATCCCCAGATTGGAGTGATGTAGATTGTTCCAAAACCATGCCAGGTGCAGAAGAGACTGGAAGAGACATATCGCTTAAGACACAGACACTGACACTCAGAGCTGTTTGACGTTGCACGCTTTCGCACGAAGACTGAGCCACTATGTAGCACGGATGGCTATGTAGCACTAATGAACATCACTCAGCACAACATGTTGGTGAGTTTCATCATGTTTCATCCCATGGGGGGGTGAGAGGATGTCTTGAAAACCCTTGAAGTCCATACAGGTGTGATATGGTGTGAGACTTGTTTTGTTTAAGAGATTAGTCATGCATTCGGCATCACTCTTCGCTCGTCTTCACCTCAACTCGGCAGAACCGAGCTCTGCAACTCTAGCCAGAGAGTTGCGCCGCGGAGAAACATCCCTTTTTTCTGAGGAACTGAAATAAGATGTTTTGCGACAGCAACAATCAATGTTCTCGTGGGGCATGCACCACACGTGGGTGATGCCAGGTTTCAAGTCTTGAATGGCTATTTAAAGATGCCAGTTCCTGACAGCGATGCAGTGGCTTGGCAGTGCCAAGGGTTTTCTGCAGAGGTGCAAACACTCAGTTGGTTCATGCAGCGATCTGGCGAAGCAATCCTGGTTAGACTCGCTTTGGCAAAGCCTCATATTACACATTAACACTTGGGAAGACTCAGACAGGAGTTCCAAGCAGGGCATACTGTACTTCAATTTGTCATAAGCCGTTCAGGAATCCTAGAATGTTTTTCAGGCCTGTTCAGGGGTGTACCGGTTGGCCTCATTGTCCTGAAAGCCTTCATGTTTTGTGAGGAAACCCAACTAAGAACAAATGACCTCAGTAGACCCGGGCTGCTTGCAACAAGCAGATTCTAGAGTCAGCCCACAAAAGTTTGTGTTGGTTGGAGGTACCAGTAGACTCGACATTGGAAAATAACTGGGGAATGATCATGCCAGTGTATGACCACCTTTAACAAATCGATTGCAATAAGCAAACTAACATGTTTTTGGAAATGAAGAGTGAACATTATGCTGAATTAGCTAATTATATAAATTGCAAATCAGATACTTAGCTATGTCAAAAGATGAATGCTTTGCAAAAGAAGCAATTCGAATGATTATATATGTACTTATTCATTTGGGCTTTATTGCTTTCACTACTTATATATTGTGGAAAGACCGTTGTCTAATTGTCCTGCTGTGTCGTGCTTGCTGTTTTAAAGATGTTCAAGCGTTTACATACAAATAAATCCAATAAAGGTTCCAGAATAACATGTGAATTATTGATTATTGCAGCATTAATTCCCTTTTGTGTTCCGAGTACTGTAAACAATTGAATACTTCAATATTTAGTTGGACATTGGGTCGATGTGGGTCGTCAATCCTAAATCCGGGCTTTTGGCCAGCTGCGCTGAGTAGACAACACCTTCTGTCGCTGAGTAGACAACACCTTCTGACCAGCGCGTGAGCAGTGTAAATGTCATGAGACGACATGCCCAAAACAACTAGCCTGATAATCTTGTCGTCTCCAAGTGCTCCCATTTAACCGCAAGCAGCAACGAACAACCTTCTTGCCCGCAGGCCTGGACAGCGTTGCCAAACATGGTCACTGTAGTCGTTAACATGAGGCAATCGCTACTAGGGTGGAGGCCATCGCTACTAGGGTGGAGTTTATCGCTTCTAGGTTGGAGGCCATCGCTACTAGCGTGCTGTGCTGCAGCTGAGGTGGCCTCCTTGGTGCTGTCAGCGTTGCAGCAGCACCTCTCTGAGCTGCGACTCCCTTGCACCCGCTCGGCGGTCGCTTGCGGCCTGCAGCCCTGCAAGACCTGCGAGCGCAGAGTTGGGGTTAGTGGGTTGGTGGGTTGGTGGGTGATCAAACGTGGGAAGAGGATGAGTCATTGAAGATCAGTGAAAATGGTTCAGAGACTGCGACATAAAGCAATTGGTTGTGGGGTTGATCTTTTGCAATCTTTTAAAGCGTAGTTTGGGCTGTGAAACATTTGGGGGGTCTCAAACACAAGGATGTATTGCGTCGGCAATGGGCGTTTGGGCCGTTGCTTTCCTCCCGGAGGACCAAGTTCTCGGGTGAAACTCATCGGGTGAATTTGGTGCTTTGGCTGCAGGATTTGAGGATTTGCAGAGGTGGTGACTTATTGTGAAAGGAGGTGAAACGGTTTCAAATGTTTGATTCTCTAGCAAGTCTAGCCACATCACCATGGTCATCGTCATCATCATGAATCATTGTCATCATTTCACCCTCTTCATAATCCGATCCTCATCCGTATGCATGAGCGATTAGTTGAGGCATTGACAAACAAACGGATTTCCGATCAAATTGTACCAGGGCGACCCCGGACCATGATGAACTGGAAAATATGGGTGGCAGAGGGAGCATTTAAACAAACACTTTCAGAAGGGTTCATGCAGCAAATCACTAGTACCTGAGCATGGCTTGGCCAGAGAACGCGAATGGGCATCGACAATCTCACCCCTGTAGAGTATCCCACAAACCTTCTGAGAGATGATGGTGCAGTTTGTTGCCATGTTTGCCCCCCAAAGAAACACCTCTTGCAAGGTTTCCCCAGGCCCCAGACCTCCAAAAACCAGAGCCGCGTGTGCCCCTCACACGTTCCTCACACGTTCCGTCCGCTCCTCGACGTTCGGCGTCGAAGGTCTATGCCTCGGCGGTTCCGGTGAATGCCTACGTGAACGGCATCGGAGCAGTGCAGACGCTTTGGGCAGGTGTGTTATGCACGGCATAGGGGGGATCCCGTCTTCAGTGAGGGATATTATTAGCGGAGTTTGGGGGGAGGTCCTTTTTGGTTTCGATCTGGGATGATGGGATTTGGATGATGAGGGGGGGGTTCTCTAACTCAAGATGTTCTACAGCACAATTAGTAGGGGTTGAGTAGCCTATGCTGCACATGTTTGTACCTTGTGCCCCAAATATCTGAGCACAAGATATACAATTTGCCTCACCGCTTCCTTTTTGCTTCTTTTTTGCTCGAGCTAATGGGCTCTTATGAAGAGAGAGGAAAAACAGCTGAAGCTGTTGGTTTTGTTTGACACTCGGGTCCAGCATGATTACAGCTGCTGTCAGCTGTTGCTCAGGGTTAGCATACTCAGGTCAGGGTTGACAAGAACACGAACGTCATGCACGATTTCTTGCTGGTGACTCCGTTTGTGACTTTCAATCGGAGTGACGTACAAAGGCGCTTGATTCACCTGTGACGTTCAATCCTTGCTGCATCCATTTCTTGGACCGCCTTGGACTTAATCAATTCGTCCCTCAACAGGCTAAGCATCAGCTCGGATCTTGAGTTTCTCGAGCCTCACGGACCGTGCGACCGATCCCTTCTCATGTCCGGTTCAGTCCTTGAAGGTCTCAGGTTTGGAACGGTGAGGCCCTGAGAGGTCCTCCAAGACTACCCTTGCAGTGCCTGATGGTGTCCTTTCCAGTGGCTTAAGGATGCTTAAGGATGCTTAAGGGAGAAAGGCAAGGCAGGAAATGGTTCAATGTTTAGGGTCAGACATTAAATCCGTGTTTTTGATGGTAGTCACCAGACCCCTCCCACAGAAAATCAATACCCTGACATGTGAAAAGCTCGTGTTGATTTGTCCTTCGTTTGAATCTACCTCAATCTGCGCTTGTGCAAGCGTAACAGGGCACACACACGAGTCTTCTTCAATTCAAGTCCCATCACACATCCCATCAGACGTCCGAGCATGGTTTCACAAGTGTTTCGAGGAGAGAAAACACAAAACATGTGTTCGCAAAGACCAAGCACCAGTGGTGACGGACACCGGTATTACCCGGCAGGTGTGACCTGAATCCACTGGTTTGAGACTGAGACAGTGACATACAGTGACGAAGATGCCTGAAATCGGTCTGTCCCAGGAAAGGCTTCGGGGATGAACAGCTCCACTCCTTCCAACGCTCTCTGGCCGAGCTCTTTCTGGTCGCGCAGCCCCTTGGGCTCAACATCTTCGACAGCCGGACGTCTCTGGCCGGGTGGGGGTGGGACACCGGTCGAAAGCGGTTGGAAGAACGGCAGGGAAAGCGGTTCATGCCGACAGATTGTGGTAATGGCTTGTGGGAAGGGTTAGTGGGATCACATGAGCTGCGCGACTCGGCCGCGACTCGGTGGAGAGGAGTTGGTTGAGTCGAATCGATTGAAGCGCCCTACCGACCTTTGAGATCATGACCGTTTCTGCGGTGCAGGGTGCATTCTGTAAGCCATCCTCACAAAGGTTTCCTCAGGGGAGCAGACGGTTTCTTTTGCGGTGTGTTTTTTCTTCGTCGAAGGTAAGTTGTGCAGTTGTGCATGACAATTCACGAACCACCTTTTCCATGAGCTGGCTTCACTCTATGAGCTGGGTTGAAGACACGAATTGGATTGATTTGCATCACCCATCGGAGAGGGGTGGATTTCGAGATCCCAACTCCGGCATCTTAGAGTCGATTTCCTCATGGTTCCCCTACAAAGTGTGGGACTTGCACACACACACACATTCTAATTGATATTACTTGTTCTTAATCAGTTGTTTTGATTTTAAGCCTTGGAATCATGAGCCTTGCAGGGCCTTGCACTCTACCGAGACCTGAGGCTTCTTTTTATACGCTGTTCATGTGATTAAGCAAATCAACAGTCTGGAGATGTTTGGAGTGAACAGTTCGACCCCGAAACAAATCGCAGTAGAATGTTCATACCCCAACTGAAAGTCTACAGGAAAGGGCTACACTCGATCAAACAAGAGTCCCCTATATAAAACGTTCTAACATGGGCTGCAGCAATATACTGATGTTTCTGTTTTTTGTTCTCACTCGTTGTGCAACTTCGTCTCATTGCCAGGTCTTTTGTTTTGCTCTTAGTCTTGGCCTAGTTCCACGTGCTGTAAGATGAGAAGATGGGGCCACGTATGTGATTTGAGGAGCGCTTTGGTTGAAATCGGGCTTTCCAAAAAAGGCGGCTGCCACGGGGGTGTTTCTTTTTGTTGCCCCTGTGCCACCAGCCTTTGTTGAAGTGGCTTTCAAGGTTTTAATCATATAGATTCATATCAGAAGGGTAGCATTGTAGCCAGCTTCTTGTTTTAACGTGATGATCAAGTAAGGGCTATATGTCTTGAGTCTTAACCCTTTTTGGAAAGCCTTGCTACCACATTTGCTTCATATCGAACAATCCTTGAAGGCTTTAGACACAAGAACCCCCTGCTATACCCTCTTCTTTCTAAAGAGATTGACCATTCAATCGGGACAACTCTTGGCGTGTCGACACTGTCCACGTGCGGCGTTGTGAGGTACTTGGGGGCTTTGCAGCTTGCGGCGAAGGATGCGGTGGCAAAGGAGCAGCAATCGAAAGGCTCCAAGAGCAAAGTCCTCTTGATGCCTTTAGGCTTGCTTGGCAGTTTCAGTTTTGCGGCTGTTGTGTTGAGCTCCTGCACTGTAGCTGGAAATGGGAAGAAATGGGCAGGCATTCGTAAAATGACATTGGTTTTGGATGTTGACTACATACTGTTTGCCTACTTCTGGATGAGTACATTCACATGCTCACATGATCTCACATGCATGTACGAACATGTACATGTACGGAATGGATGGCGACCATGATGATGCCGTTTTTCTTTGTTTCTTGGTTCCGTGGCTCCCAAAACACGCGGGTGTGCAGCTTGCGATTGTCTCGGAAGCAGGGTTCTGTTACGTCCATTTTGCCCCACAGGCGCGTATCAGCACTGTTTGCGGCATGTATCCACCAGCGTCGTCACTGTGGGTCATGGCCCTGACCAGTGAGACTTAGCCACAAGACATGAACACCTGAATATGAAAAGTAACCCGGTTGACGACCTCACCTACGGACTATACCGACTATACCGACTATACCCATGATTGTCAAACATCAACTGAAAGGGATGGCGTCCCAAGACATACATTCCCGGTGGTGAAGGGGAGGCCGCGCGCCTGAGGCCCTACATAACCGATTTGGAATCGTATGCAGATTCAGAACCTGTAAAGGGCCAGGCGCCGTACTAACCCCGCCGACCGTCCCACACGCCGTGAGGCGGCGGGGTCTTCAAGAACTCCTGGGAGTCCATTGCGACTGGGAGAAAGCGACCAGGGAGAATCCATGATCTTCAACCTGTTGAAATATCACTACCCGGAGAAACCTGTTACCCGGAGAAACATCGTTGTGAATTCCTGGTTTAAAGCAAATGCAATCCTCAAAATTTGTGCACCTAGAAGAAGAACTGACGCCCTAGATACTGCGGACATAGTATACAACGAGTTTTAGGTAATCTGAAAGACCTTTGCAAGGCTTGTGCATCGCTGCCGAACCGACCAACAGTAACTTGGTCTCCAATGTCTATTGTTAACCTCAATGGATTGCTTCAAGGGAAATCTGCAGGGTTTTGGTTTTCATTGTTTTTTGTTTTTCTGTAGATGTTCCAACCAATTCTGGGGTCATCAGTTCTGCAAGAGCTGCGAGAACAGAACTGATGTCTCCACAAGTGCTAGGATCTGAAGATGTTTCCACCTGATGCTTTCATCTCCCACCGGACCACACCACCCACTTGGCCAACAATAGACCCCACTTGGCACAACGAATTCACGCGCTGCAGCTTCTTCAAGCCTAGTGACGTCCAGAGGTGAAAAGCATCGCACTGGCAGTGGAGCTTTGCAAGGACTTGGAACTCCTGGACATCCATGTCTTGGCGCCTGAGCAGAGCGAGATCTCGGATCGAGCCAAGAGCAGTGGCTCCTTTTTCAGGTAAGACGCCGTTGTTTTTCTTAGACGTTTTGTATGGTGAGCACTTGGATCTTTTGTGTACCTCTCCAATCTTCACCCAAGAACTACGTGAGTGGACGTTGAGAGGTTCCATGGGAACTATGTGGGAAATCGTTGGGAACCCCCATCCAGACCTGACAAATCCTGGTTGTTGAGCTGCTTCATATCCGCATTTGTCCAGACAATCATCACCGTATCCACAGTGGGGTGGTGCGTGCAATGTTGTGAGATGCTGGATAAGTGCTCGTCGTGCTGGTGAAGGGGGTCGTGGGAGCAACCACCACAACCCCTCACAACGGGTCTCACGCGTGGACACCAGCTTCCAACACCCAGACACTCCATGGGACTGGCACATGTTGCACACACTGAAGGGTGTCCGGGACCCATGATGTAGGCATATATTCCAGTCCCATGGAGTGTTTGGGACGTGCTTCAGAGGTCTTGGCGGGTGGCCGTGCTGGCAAGGGCAACGACACGCCGGCAGACGAACGTCGCTTGACCGGACGAGTCTGGCGTGTATTGAAGTGGTGGGACCTCCCAAAGACCCCTTTCGACTAAGGAAAACAATAGATGGAAAATTGATGAAACTTGTTCTGTAGGGGAATCCTTTGTGCTGACACGACCAGTGTGTCTGCGGCACAGCAAGCGCTCATGACTTGCTCGATTTGTGGGAACAATAGATGGACAATTACGAACATAGACTCAGAGAGTCTCAGAGACCAAAAACCCTAATTGGTTGGGCAATCACGACTTGCAGACGGCAGTTCGTCGTACGCTTCCCATATGGTGGCCCTTTGCCGGCTGGGGGGCTGGGGGGAGTTGGGATCTATCAACTTCTGATGAGTCGATGGTGTTGTCTAGACCTAGCTCCTACAATGCACCGTGGGACCTCCCTGTACAAGAGTCCTCACGTTGGTTTGTGTCTGCGAAATGAATGGTGTCATGTATACACCCGGCACTGAATTCATCGGAACATGTCGGTGTGGCATTATCAAGTTAAGACTCATGTGCAACTGGGTTGACGTATATGGACAAAACATGACATGCCAAAACTAATTACAAGGAATGGGTCTGGCAGAGCCTCCAACCCTGTAGGCCTATGAATGAATTTGTAAGCGTGATCTTCAGGCACCTGGTTTGCGAAAGGGGATTTCGGGAAGCTCATCACTGCAAGATCACAGCAGTTCATAGCAGTTCACGTTTCTGCACATGGCCTTGGATCGCTTGGATGCCGTTGATGCCGAGGAGTCAAGGAGCTCTTGCAGAAGCACCGAAAGCTGAGGGTCAACTGCGATGGGCCAGATGAAAAACAGCTTTTGGTGCTGCTTTCGGGATGATAAGGGATGTGGGAGACTATTTCTGTGGTCCAAAGAATTCGTTGGACTTATCTGAAGACTAGCGTTTTTAACAGCTGAATATGCCTCTAGAGGAAACATGAGAACACCGTTTTGCTATGGAGAATGCGGACCACAGAATTTATTTTCTCTAGAATGGTCCAGCCCAGGCTCAAGGTGGGTTTCCTGCTCATGTTTGGTGTTTCCTTTGTTGAAGCCTGGTTCCTCAAAAGATACTGATGGGTGACATCTGATTCAAGCTTGGCAGCATGTGAAGCTGGAAATGCTGGAGAGAGTTCGAACTCAGTTTGAGTTCGGTGAATACATGAGGGCCATGAGGATTTCAATGTGCACAGTGAGTTGAGGATTTCAATCATGCCCAGCAGGGTGCTGCTGTGTAGGGCTCGCCCTGAGGGGCCACCGTGGGCCCTGGGGGTCAGACAGGCCGTGCAGGCCCTGTGGTCATTTTGGACATCTGAGGGAAGAAGAGGTCCAATACCTTCAAATATGCACTAGTATTAAAGGCAGGTCATCACTACTAGTAACAAGGGCATCGCTACTAGTAACAAGGGCTTCAAATATGCACCTTTAAATAATAATGCGGTGTTTGAACTACAGGCAGCCGAGGAGTGCCATGTGACATAGGCCGAGTGATGCAGCTTCATTTCCCAGGACGCGCTTGGCGAAATGAGCCTGGTCTCTGATTGGAAGGACCAGGGAGGGAAGGTCTTGGAGGGAGGTCTTTTCTACAACTCGAACTCTTTCAAAGGCCTCAAAGATTGGACTGAACTACCCTAAGTAGCTGAATCTAAGCATTATAGAGAGAACCACATGATTTTTTGTTGGGATACTCTTGTTTCAGGCCTTTTGAAGCAAATAGCTCATGAGCTTACTTGGAACCTGCTTTGGTTGCATTGTCGGTTTGGCAGGTTGGTGCCATATAGTGTGAGGTCAACGTCTCAAGAGATGTATAAACAATGCTTAATTGTGTTTCAATAGATGTTAATTCTTCTCATCTATCTTCAAGAAGGATTGTCCAACAAGTTCATGTCCTGACCGGAGCTTTCGCTCGAACTTTCTTTCGCTTGCCTGGCAGTAACCAGGTATTATGGACTCATAGTGATTCAAGGTAGAGAATTCTTTGTGTGAAAGTGCTCGCGGATGTTGAATAGGGGTGGGCATCCGTCTTTTGAAGTCTTTTCATGCCTTTTCTGTGGGGTCCGTGGGGCAGATCAACTTCGGGGGGTTCCAGGAAGGTTGCCGCATCCATTGTCCAGGACACCTACGAGTAGAGAAAGGTTTTCAACACTGTTTCACCTTGACGCAACCACCACCTGTTGCTGAAGCTGATCAAAAAAGATCTTCGCAAAGTGGAATCCGATTCAATCAGATGTTGGCTAACTTGATTCACACTTCAGCAATGTCTTCGATGTGTCAAAGAGGATAAGCCTCACTTGTGCAACACTTGGTGTTTCAATTGCTTTCTTGCGTGCTTTGCCAGTGCACGGGAGCGCAAAACCAGTTGCTGGTCGGCTAGTCAACGAGGGTTGCGAGTCGTGTGCTCAGCAATGTGTGGTGGTTTGAACACTTGTCAGCAAATCTTAGCTGCCAGGTTTGATTTAAATGTGAGGTGCGGTCAGCTTTCACCTATGCAAAGACCACACGTGAAAGAAAAACCCGATGGATAGACATGGATAGACGCAGCTTTTCACTTGCCAAACATGTCGTGCAGGGCGAAGAAGCCATACTCAGTAATACTCAGTGACTCAGTGTATGTATTTATTATATAATGAATAGTCAGAAATACTTGGTATACACACTTGACAAACATATTATAGATACACAAATACTATAATACACTCAGTCTTTTATATAGTCAGAAATACTTAGTCTTACTTCTATATGTATATCGTCAAAAGCGTTTCTGCGTCTTCTCCAACTTCTTGACCGGAGCGAATCGGTCGCTTGGGTTTTCAAGCTCCATGATGCCCAACTCGAGCCCTTCACCCTGTGGTGAAAGCTCTGAGTGCAAAGCTCAAACTGGTTAAAGAAGGAAGTTGTATGCAAGTTGTATGCAAGGTGTTACAAGAGGATGGTCTATGCAGGTGAGGTGAAAACGTATTCCACTTGCTGGTCACTTGTTCGTCGTTCTTGCTGTCAGACCTGAACCGCACAAGCACAGACCTGAACCGCATCGTTCGAAGGTTCAACATCACCCTTGTTGTACATGCGTGAAATATTGGAGGTTTCTCCGACAAGGGTGAGGTTTTTCCTCCGGTTTGCAAAGCCCTGCTGAGGCCATAGGTTGCACTTCGGTTTCTTGTGCGCATGCAGCATGCCAGTCACAGGAATCCGTTGTGGAGGTTCAAAGGACGGATTTGATTGCTTGCAAGGAGTACGATGTTTAACATTCAGTTGCCGTTTGGAGTTTGAAGTATCGCTTTGTGTCCGCCGTGATGGATTCAGATGGATTCCTATTGATTCAGTTCTCGCGTTTGAACATACAGACACAAAACTACCAGTACTACCGTACCAGGTACATTGAAATTCAACCCCTCAGCACTATCTCATGACCCCTCAGTTCGACCATGCAAAAGAAGCCGCAGAACACGGCGAGATCATGTTCTTTCGGGGTCGTAGACTCGTGCGTGGACTCGCAGACTTGGAGCTCAGACTGGACGGACAGATCAGCCGCAGTGAGCTGAGAGCTGTGGCATCGGCGTTTTCACAGCGACAGATCAGCTGCAGAAGCTTTGGGAGCTGTACAAAAAGATACAATTCCGGAAACAAAACGGCTTAAGGCAGTTTCCAGGTGCCTAGAATGAACGGTTTGCATTGATGGACGAGGTTAGAAGAGGACGAACGAGAAAATCATCCAGTTCTACCCTTTGTGGGGGGTGCGACTTTAAAGGGGGGTTGGGAGCCATCCAGCGAAAGGTTGGACCTTCTGTTAGAATATTCATTTGTGCGAACCGGTGACTGGAGTCAAGAAGAAAGGTTAGAAGCTTCTGGAACTTGCCACCAGTTGAAACGACGGGCCGAACCATCAGATTCACTCCGAAGGTTTTGTGATTTTCACGATACCCAACAGAGAAGCCCCAAGAAGTCTTCCAGGTCAACATGGTTTTCAGTATTTCGCGTCTCCTTTTGTCGCTGGCCAATGTGATCAAAGTAGATGAAACGGTGGAAACCACGGGTGAATTACACGGGTCCATGTGGTTTACAGTCACTTGACACGCCAGGTTTGAACACTCCAGTGTTCGCACAGCATGCAGAGAGATGTTTTTGCCAATGCAGCTTTACTCTGACCTGGTTTCTTTGGTGGTCTACTAGGGTGCATCCCATTACGAGCAACCTCTGGAGAAAAATGATCACTATTTTTGCGAAAGCCCTTCACTAACCATCATCATCCACTGGGATATACCGATATATACCCATGAAAAAGTCGTACAATATTATTCTGTCTACGTTTCCCACAGCTGAGCGTTCAAACGGTGCACTCCAAATCGATCTGCTTCGCATTTGCTTCTTCCCCACGCAGGTGGCAAACGAGGTCGAGGAGGCCTTTCTTCAGAGCCAAAGACGTCTTGAACAAACTGGGGGTTCATGGGATTCATGAGCCATTTTGTTACTACTAGTAGGTGAAGTCGCA